TCCTTTCTGTTGTAGAGCCTGTTGCCCCACTTACTTCTTTGTCTTCCTGAGATTCGTTTCTCTTCTTCGGAATTCAATCCTCTGCTTTCCATTGATAATAGTTGTACTATTTTAGAAGGTTTTCGCACCACGCGGGAGTCCCGGTATATCTTACCGGTTCTACCGCTAATATTTTTGATGACTCTAATATCAGAAATATTCCAATCCTAATTCCAAAACTCAGTATTTGATGGTTCTGGGTTTTGGGACTTGGATTGGCTTTTTGATAATCTTGTCCCTAGATGCTACACGTTCACACAACAGTTTGTATCACCCTGGCACGTGTCCAGCTTACTTCTGGCACACGATATATTCACCTTAGTAGCTGTTCTAAGGTTTCTCCTTTCTGTTGTAGAGCCTGTTGCCCCACTTACTTCTTTGTTTCCTGAGATTCGTTTCTCTTCTTCGGAATTCAATCCTCTGCTTTCCATTGATAATAGTTGTACTATTTTAGAAGGTTTTCGCACCACAGGAAGATATCTCTTAACGCCTACTAATCTCTTATGTTTGACATGTAGTATGTTAAGGTTACTTATGACTTATCTAAGTAAGGATATTGTAAAAAATGTAGAGTATGGAGAGTAGCTGAAAAATACAAGACAATAGGAATACAATAGACCTCTTCTCAAGTACGGGTATCTCAGCTAGGAAAAGTCCGTAGACTGAGAGAACCGAACTGAGTCTTTATTTATGTTTTCACTAGACTCTGCTTTTCTTGAGTGTTTCTCTCACACTCGAAAGTCCCGTACCGCTAATATTTCTGATGACTCCAATATCAGAAATATTCCAATCCTAATTCCAAAACTCAGTATTTGATTATTCTGGGTTTTGGGATATGGATCGGCCTTTTGATAATCTGGTCCCTAGATGCTACACGCTGGAGGAATTGCTATTGTACATGGCACCCCGTGCACTACTGAAGACTTTCATGGACGAAGTCCATGAGGCTCGTACATCGTCGGAGACGGCTGCATTTTCGGCAGACAACTTCGTTGCCTCGTTGCGTGTGACGATGTCTCGCACAACGAAGGTTTGCTATGTGACGCAACCCCCCTGGTTAGTAGCAATCTTGCTGCGCATCAGGCAGAAGGGGGTGTTCGTGCAGCCCATTTACGGACTGCCAATTTTTAGCTGATCAGCGCGGTGGTGATTTGCACACACCATCGGAGGGCGGTAGTACGGATGGTACTGACACCTCTATAAACCCGGACCCTCCTACTCTTGCCCGGCCTATTGCGAGAACAGACGCTGGGACTAACCAGGACTCCGGTACTGGCACAGCGGGTGCCCCTGCTGATGGCAGTGGTGACCAGCGATCGCAAGCGGAGAAAGCGCAGAAAGCGCAAACCCAGCATGATGACGCTCTGCGTGAGCAGATTCGGCAAGACACCCGAAAGTTGATGGGTGAGGAGGCTCGACGGCTGCGGTTGGAACGTCACTGGGACCAGGCGGTTACCGAGACGTCATCGTCAGCCACTTCGTCAGGGAGCGTACCTCTGGCGCACAGGGCATCAAGGGCCGTGGAACTGGCTGTTCTCCAGCTGCCATCAGGTACGGCAGATGAAAATTCGAGGTTTTGCATGGTTTTGGCGTTCAGGCTCTAATAAGGCTTACGCTGCATTAGCCATGGTAAATGATAATATCAGTAAATTCTTACTGGCTCAAGCAATAGTTGAACCAGCTATGTTAGAAAAGGTAGTGACGGCGATCAATGACCAAATCAAGGTGGTCGAATTGTTGTTCTCTCTTATTTTTCGTAGTACCCAGCATGTCCTTTCGGTGGCGGGTTTGCGGAACAGGGTCCACCACGCCTGCTCAGTTGGTTGCAGCATTCGTGGGCATTTTACGGCCCAGCTCTATTGGACTTCATCAAAATTGACGATGAAGTGAGTACAAAGGTAAAAGCCCAGGTTGCAAAACAGCAACAGGGTGCTCCACAAGGAGGTGGCGGCAATGGTGGTGGCGGAGGCCATCAACGTGGTCTTGGCTCCAGAGGTGGAGGGGGGCAACAAGGTCAACAACACGACGCTTATCGGCAGCAATTGCAAGCGCAGTTGAACGCCGCGATTAAGTCAATTCGCGGTAAAAGGACTAAGGACATCAGTAGCAGTGGTGGCGGCCGCAAGAAGTCACGCTCGCGTTCACGCTCACCGCGTGAGCGATCTTCCAGCAAGTACCATAGGAAAGATAGCGATGTGCGTTACTTTAGACCATGGAGGCGGAGTCGTAAGCACTCGCAGTCCGCAGGGTCTGAGTTGGATCGAGGGCATTCGCACAGGCGTTGAAATAGGGACAAGCATAGGCGACGAAGGTCGTATGATAGCTCGTCCCAATCTCGCTTCCCTAGTCGTGAGAGTAGAGGTAGTAAGAAAGGAAAAGAGCGTAGGGGTGACCGTCATATGTCGGAGTCATCTGAGTCCGAAGGTGGCGAGTCTTGTCGGGTGTGTTTTAGCTACAACCACTCTACTGAAGACTGTCCTCGGTATGGGGGTTCTGCGGGCATGGCTACAACTCACGTAGGAAGTGAAATGGCGCGGTGGTCCCGGCCATTGTTGGTGCTGTAAACACCTGGGCGTATGCGGACTCTGGTTGCACGTTTAACCTCGTGATATCCCGCATGCTCTCGAAGCTTGGTATCACAGCCCGAGACCAGTACAAAGGATCGCCGTTAGCAGGTATTGATGGGATGGGAACACTCCGTCCCAAGTAATCGGTACCATGGGACGAATTGTAAGTCTACATGCTTAACTTGGGGGGCTCCTATGCGTTAGCAGAAGGGCACCCGTTCTATGTAGTTGACGATATCCCAATGGGATGTGATTTACTCATTGGTTACGACCAAATGAGACATTCCAAACGGGCACTGATGTGGAGCGCTGACACGTTGTTGCTAGTCCCGCAGTCAGTGATGAAATGGTCATGGCTCAAGAGCACTAATGTCCCGTTGAGTCCACACGTGAAACCTATTTTAGGTTATCGACAGCCAAAGCCGCGGGCAAAGCGAGGTAATAAAAGGATTAAGAAAAGGCACAAACCCCGGCGGACGCAAAGGCGTGCTGCTGGAGGGGCTAGTGACGAGGAAGCGCAGAGCGACTACCAGACAGCTCAGCTATAGACAACCGTTTGTCTGCCTCTGGAGACGATACCGCGGTCAGTAGTAGCGATGAAATGGGTTCAGCAGGGGCGTCGGCAGTGAGCGACTGCCCAGATATTCTATCCGAATCTGATATCTCTAGTGGCAATAACATCATGTGGCCGACGATGGGTCACCGGCCACCAAAGCCGTTGGCTCTCCGAAATGGCGCAATGCGCATGAGTAGCAGTTCCGCCTCGTCGGGCAGGAGTGAAAGTTAGTTGGAGTATCCCAACCTTCTTCCAGACTCGTCAGATGACGACGACTTTTGTTTACCGGTCAATACAATTAGTTTGAGCAGGCCAAGGGCGCACAATAAGCGTCCCTACCCTGCTCGCCGAACACGGCGATCTGCGCTGGTTGGCAAGGACCAGCCTACCACACCACCAGATCACCCCAGCTCCGCAGGTATAACCGCAGCTGAGAGCTCTGCTGGTAGGCACCCCGTCAAAGGGTCAACCGCAGCTCGCAATAACCAAGGCTTCTCCGGTTTTACCGCAGCCGACAGCTCCGCAGGTGAGTAACCTAAGAAAGGGTCAACCGCAGCTATTCCCCCCATGGCGCATGTGACACTTAAGTCGTCCAAGCAGCCATCCAACTCCGCAGGTACAGTCCCACAGAGGCGCCCAACCGAAGCTGACGCTCATAATCTCCGAGAAGTGTTGTTGGCGCGCGGCACAGCGTCGCGGCCAGAGCACCCGCGACTTTGGGGAGAATCCCCTCCCTGCGCAAGTAGTTCCTCAGGCGAAGGACAATGAGGGCGTGTATCTCTCAAGGCTTCCGGATATGGTCAGTGAGTCGTATAGACTTACCGCGGCAAGCATTGGAGGAACTGGTCAAGCCAGATATTGAAGGATGTGACCGCCGAGCGAACAAGTGTCTCGAGTTTGATCGGTCCGGGCTTCGTCAGCTTGCGTCAGAAGCAGGCAAGACGGCGAAGGAGCTTGCACACCTTGAAGCTCTCATTGAAGGCCGTGCTTACGACAAGAAGAAACATCGTTTCATGAAAGGTGACCCGGTTAAGCTTTACCCGATTGAGGTTGAGCCCCCGGCGCGTGTGCGTAGCCACGAGGACCTTTCCTTGGACCACTCAGAGATGGTGGCTATGAAAGAAAAACTTGAAGACCTGGTACAACAATCTATCATCGCCAAACAAGTGGATAAAAAAGTGTTGTGGTCAGCCAAGTCCCTTATGGTACCGAAGAATCCCCGGGTTACTCCCCAAACAAAGGATGACTGCCGATTTTGTACGAATTTCGCTAAGTGGAAGGCCAAGTTGAAGCAGGAACCGTTCAACATCCCTACTGAAGGTGAAATGTTCGGACATGTGGCTGGCAAGCCCTGGATCTCTGTGGTCGACTGTGGAAATGGGTTCAATCAGATCCCGTTGGAATCCAAGAGTCAAGATATCCTTACCTTTTGGACCCCTTGGGGGCGATAAAAGTATCTTGCCCTTCCTTTTGAGATTACTGAAGAGTCTTGGCGGTTTCAAGAAACACTTGACCGTCTGTTTGATGGCCTTCAGGGTATTAAGTGGTACATTGATGATATCGTTATCACTTCCGTGGACGCCTCTGAACACTGGGATCAGCTTACTGCATTCTTCGAGCGATGCGACAAATATGACATCCAGTTTGGGCTATCCAAAGCGAGGATGGTTACTACAAGCGCCCTGTTAAAATCCTGAGGTGTTGGTGCAATGACCAAGGAGTCACTATCACCGCTGACAGACTTGCAGCTCTCTTGGAGGTAGACCTCCCGGACAACCAGGACCGCGTTTGGTCGTGGTACCATACAGTGGCTTTCTGGCAGAAGTATATAGATGGTTTATCTCGAATACTCAAGCCCATCTCTGCCCTCATGAAGGACGGTGTCCGTTTCAAGTGGGGCGCTGCCCAGCAGCAAGCGTTCGATACTTTCAATGAACGTCTCAAAGTATGTGCTGTCTTAGCGACACCTAAGCCGGACGAACGTCTTTACTAAGTTGTCGATGTCTGTGAGCACATCGGCTTTGGTGGGGCGAAATACGTCCTCCGCGACGGTGAACTTTGGCCCGTAGCCTATTTTTACTCGAAGTTCTCGACGGCCCAACTGAATTATCATGTAACGGATAAGGAATGGTTGGCGCAGGTCTATGGGCTTCACAGGCACTGAACAGTATTTGCCAATTCTCATCACCCCATAGCGATCTTTACCGATCACCAAGCGTTACTCACGCCATGGCACAGGGGGTTCTTCGCTGACGACCCTCGTGGCCGTCGACAAGCTCGCTGGCAGGAGGTCTGCCGAGATCGTGACGTGTACTTGCTGCACGTGAGGGGGAAGGACAACGGCACCGCAGACATGCTCAGCCGTCTGGCGACCAAGGTGGATCCTTGGATGGACCCTGTCGGCACCCAGGCAGGTAACCCTCGTCGGCGAGTCACCTGGCGTTATCCAATCGCTCGCACGGGTCCTCCGTACAGCAATGAATATATGGCCAACTGCAAGTATTTTAAGAAGAAAGGCAGACAAGGCTTGGGGCCCGCATACCCATGATTGTTTTGCGCTTCCTGGGAATAACCATATCCCTCGGTATTTCTCGCCCTCTTTGAAAGGGGGTTACTCTGGACGTTCTTGAACCTGTGGGTCAACCCTCCGTGGGCGACGATTCCCCGTGTTCTAGCCAAAGTCATCTCTGATGATGCGGACATCACGCTCATGTGTCCGTACCTCCTTAACGAACCATGGTTCGAATCGATGCTGGCCTTGTTCTCGCGTGAGCCAATCAATATTCTTCCGGAGAAAGGTGCTTTCTTCCGGTTTGGGCATGAAGAGATGCCTGCCCCGTGATGGGGTCCTACACTGATGTGCCGACTCTCGGCATCAGGGGCGAAGTATAAGGTGACGAAGGACTTCTGGCGTCAGTGTGAGGCATTTCTTTCCCGTGGGGCGGCCGGTGGCGCGGTTAAATCAGCTCTGCGGTCGAACCCGCGAGCGACAGCTCCACTGCCTACCCCTTTCGAGGCTGATACGCTTGAGCAAGCAGCAGCGCAGGCCACTGAACCCAAGAGGCGATTACCGAATACGCTCACCCGTCGGGCACGAGCAAGGCGTGCTCAACTTGATGCGGCAACCAAACGGGACTTGCCGAAAACAAGGGCGGAAGTGGAAGCAGCAGTAGCGCGGGCGCTTAACGGTCCGTCCCCTTACAGAATTCGTGGGTTCAAGCTATCGTGGCCGGAGGTCCACAAAGTAATTGCTGCCACGCATAAGGTCTATATGTAAGCTGGTACTGACAAGCTTGTCAGCAAGCTGCTCACCCTGTACGGGTGGGATTGTATCCGTTCCTTAGTCAGGGTGGTCAAGCGATCCTGTCACCGCTGCCAGATGCGGGCCCCGCATGGCACGCAGGAACTTGGATTGCGCTAACAACCGATCCGGGAACGGGGTATTTTCAACCACGTGTTCATCGACTTTGCTACTTTGCCAAAGACCTCCGCGGGCTACACGCACCTTTTCTTGATCGTCGATAGGGCGACGTTTTTGGTGCTAGTCAAATTGTCTCGGTCCAAGAGCGCTCGCAAGGCCATCAAGTTCCTTAACGAGGTAGTACACCCGTGGGATCAACCCAAGTTGTACACTTGCGACAAGGACTTCGTCTTTATGGCGCAGGAGTTCAAGGACTTTGCTCAGCAATCTGGGGGCGAGGTCCATGATGTTACGACCGACCACCGTCAAGCTAACGGTGCAGCTGAGGCCATGGTGAAGGTTGCGCAGGACTGAATTCTGAAATCCATGACTGCGGCAGATAAGGGCGACTGGTTGCCCTGGTGTTACAAATTCCGGAACTGATATAACGCCGCAACCACCGCCACGCACGGCTTCGCGCCATACACGATGATCACCAATCGCGTGTACGATGGTGAGCGAGAGTTTAAGCTCGAAGCAGATATCCGTCAGCTCCTCGCTAGTGAAGACTCTGCGCGCGCCTTGGTGCGTGACGATGCAGCTTTCCAGCGTGTACAGCGGGCGAAAGAAGTGAGAGACTACAGTAGTAGACGTATTTCTATATACGTTAATAACGTTTTACGTCGTTAGCCCGAGAGTGATTTGGGACTTGTTCTCAAATTAATATAAGTATAGGTGGGTCAGCCCGAGAGAACGTAAGAGTAATTTGAGACTTCTTCTCAGATTATTCTTAGAATACGGGCCACCGGCTAGCCGAGAGCCGAGGTCCGAGACTGAGTGTAGTAACAGAGAATATGATATATTTATTTCTGGAAAATATATCCGAGTGCTTAAGTGTTCTCCAAAAGGTTTCTCATACTTATCATATGAGGTTTTACCCTGGCCAACCCAAGTGGTTGAACACTAGTACAAACACCATCAGTATATACTGAGGGTGAGATCATAAATAAATTCATTCGAATGCACCATACTTTACATACACTAGCACTTAACTATTAGTCCCCCACACCGCACGCTAACAAGAAGCCCAGGGTGCGAGGGCCGACAGGGTGCGAAAGCCTGCGCGCAATCTAGCACCAGGATCTCTGGTTAAGTTCAAGGCCTCGCCAAATAGGTTGAAGGCGGACGACCGGTGGAAGGGCCCCGCCACGGTCCGTTCAGAGGATAGCTCGGTCAAATACATGATTTCTTTCCGTGGTAAAGAGGTGCAGCGACAGCGCACGCAGCTCCGTGAGTATGTGTCGCCCATCTCCCCGATTATAGACCAGCACGTTGACCTGGTTTTCTCGTCTGCGTACGAGAAATGGCTCCCATCGAAGAGCGACGGGCGGTACTGTATCACTTAATACAGACCGCCAAGGGCTAGCGTTGGCGAGGCCTCACCAACTCGGCTTTTGGCCTTCTCCAAAAGGCGTACACCCGCAACGACAAAGAAGTGGAATACAACCTCTCCCGTCTGCGCGCCAGTACTTGGCCAAAGAGTGGAAGAAACTCTCGAAGGGCACTCTCCAGTCGCGAATGTCCCTCGTCAGGTCTTCCCTAGCGTTTGCATTTGTCCCATCATTTCGTGCTGAAAAGGTGAAGAAATGAACGGATGCTGAAACGAGTGAGGAGAGTGCGCCGGTGCTAGGTGCAGCCTCTTCGTTACAACCACCACGGCTTGAGCGAGTCAAGTTGTCACCTGGTCTTCCCCCAGCCTGGACGTTCGCGCCGTAGAATAGTGGTGTAGAACGCAGTCGGCTGTAGTATGAAAGTTAGGGTTCGCTTGACCATTGCCTACGGCAACGCTCAAGAGGGCGTATGATCAGCCCCAGGGCCGGAGTACCAAACTTTGGAGTAGAATTTGGCCATGTGAATTTTCAAAATTATTGTGAACCAAAACTGTTTACATTTACATTCACATACACAAATATTTAATAGGGCCCTAATCCTTACATCCAATATTTACCAAATTCACATCGTTCTACAATTATAAGAATTACAACGTTAACTAGCATTGATTTCAGGATCTCACAATACATATATACATAT